TCGGCTGCTGACCCACAGGTCGCGGGATCGAATGCTGGCTGCGGCGGCTGCATTTCCGATGGAGGCGGAAATGTTGTAGGCCCGTGTGCACATATTTGGGTGCACGTTAAAGAACCCCAGGTGGTCAAAATTTCCGGAGCCCTCCACTACGGCGTCTCACATAATGATATGGTGGTTTTGGGACGTTAAACCCCACATATCAATCAATCTACTCATGCGCTTTGAGCCATATTGAAGTTCCGTTTTCTCAGCAACTTTTTTCCTTTTTTTTTCTCTCTCTCTCTTTCTCTTCACTTTCCTCTTTCTCTCTAATCTTTATGCCCCCTTCCTATTTCCCCAGTGTAGGGTAGCAAACCGGGCATGTGCCTGGTTAACCTCCCTGCCTTCCCTCTTGTTGTTTACCCTCCCCCCCAGCAACTAATAGAGATATTTGCATATTCCATACAAAATTGCCTTTCAAATCTTCAGCTCTTTTACCTGAAGCAGTTTTATGAAAATCTGATTGATATTACACTTTTGTCAAATGTCCAACCATAAAACACTAATTTTTATGTTACGTGGCATTTATGAAACTTTGTACAACAAAAGCTATAAAGTGCATAATTTGAATTCTGCTTTAGCATTCGTAGGCATTCACGCAGAATACAAAAAAAACACTCAGCTGGTTACCTTGGAAAGCATATGAATAATTGTACTTAAGTAATTAAAATTATGCGTTTGAAATAGTCGAGGTAAAATATAGAAAACGAAGGAAAAGCGAACACACTTTGTCACAAACGCTGTTCAAATATTTTTTGTAGTTTAAAGCTTTTTAATCATTTTCAAAGTATTTTTTTTTTACTTCGGAGTGTCTAGTAACGCTTGCCTTGCTTTTTCTTTCGGGCGGGGGGCTGTCATGCAGCGCTATCCATAGCGTATCGCTGAGTGTGGTCAACGTTTTTGAGCGAATTGACTGTAGTTTTGCCAGGCCCGATTCCTAGCTATTTCTTATTTGAGGCTCGTGTGATGCTACCAGACATAGATTCAAGAACAATATCTAATGTCGCAAGTGTTAAGGCTTAAAACCTAAACAAATACATCAAAACTCTGTGACTCGATTTTCATTTTTTAGAATATGCGCTGGGCAGTTGGCAAGCGCTCTTTTGGTCAAATAAACCAAAAATATCAGTTATTTCTATTAGAGCGTAGCCGTTATCATCCTGCATGTGATTCACCGCAAAGAACGCTGAAAAATCTGAGAGGCGCACCAACAAAAAAACCTTGCCGGTTGAGCGTTCAGCGCCTGAGTAGTCGCTGACATATATTCACATATGCAAGACAACTGTACGGGTTTCACGAAATTCGCTTTTGCTGAGGACCTTCTTTACCATCAGCATCTAAACTTCTTAAGGTTTAATGAAGCTAGGAGCTGAAAGTGTTCGACAAGATGCGTATCGTAGATGAAGTGCAAATATATAGGCACACAGAGTCTTAGGACTGTCTTATAGAAGTAACGGGATGATCACAGCTGACCCTTCACAAGCATTTTGGCTTTCGTACACGTTTTTTATCTATATACATGGACCTTAAACTTAGTCAGGAGGGGCTTGCCGTCGGGGGCGTTTTTACTCACTACTCGTTTGGGGAAATCTTGTTTTAGTGCACTAAAAATGCTCTTTAGGAAAAGTGTGAATCTGGAAACTATGTACAAAGGGACAATCTTCTCAAATTGCAAAAAAAGCGGGACATATTTTTCTTAATTTCACACTACCCTGTGCCATTAAGCCCATTCATAATATTTATGCAATGATTAGGTACGCGCAAGTGTTCTTACCTTTTGAGTGTTTCTGTATTCAAATTCATGGCCAATTTAATTCTCTGAAAAGGAGTGCCCAGTGAAACTGTCTCATAGAACATCCATAGCAAACAAACTGAAGCATCAGATTTTCGTCTTCGAGTCCTTTTTTGGAAATGCCTCAGATAGATTTCTTTGCTAATTTATCCTTTCTCGTTATCTTTAGTGGACCAAGGGAAAGTTGTAGTGCATACACAATTGTTGTGGAACATAGAGTCAAATCTGACTTTGTCGAGCGCCGGTAAATCTAATAACAATTTACATCGAATTACTATCGAACACGAGAATGCTTCAAATTCAATGCAGAGTACAGGTTAGCTATTCTGCTCTAGGCTGGCGATAATCATCATAGGCAAAAGTAATGTAGCCTGACGTCACCGCTGCATACATCGCTAGAATCACACTGGGTATATAGTATTAAATCAACACCAATATTATGTTCAAGGTAGACTAGAGACTTTCTGTGTCCGTCGAGTATACACAGCTGCTTATGAATATGGTAAGGCATTGTTTGCAGTCATAGCACATTTTTTCTCTAATTTAACCTATCAGCGCAATGAACTTGCCATACCCGACTATAAACGCGGAAGAAAAACAACAAAGGGGAACTTCAGCAGGTCCCACGTACCTTGGGAATTGAGGATATGCAAAGCGTCCAGAGGGACGGGGTGACTGTGTTCAGTTTTTTTATTGAATGAGTCGCTACGAAAAAGGTGCTAAATATGTTTACAAATACACGTACAACCATACGTTAATTAGTCGCGTATGTTTTGTAATAGCAGTTGTTTACAATTAGGTAACGATGCCAACAGCAACATGGGTATTAGCAACACCAGAAGCGGGAAGCTTATACGAAGCATTGGTGTTTGAGCTGGTGCGTCCAAGCGTGGTAGCCCTTAACACTACTACACAAATCAGCTTGAGTAGATGGCGCCTAACTACAATTTACGTTAACCCGACATGACAGCTTTATCGTAGGAGTACACATGTAATGTTTATAAAATTGAATAGCCAGTACAGCAACCGAAATTGACGTTACACGAACATTAGGGTCTATTTGAAAAGTACATCCGAGGCCTGGCATGGCTCCATGGCAGAATACTTGACATACACGCAGATGTATCACACTAGATTTTTGGGTCACGCACCTGAAAATGATTCGGGAAAAAGAACCTAATACAATTGTCATGGAGTGTGGGGATTGACGTTAACGTATGTAATTAAAATTGCGTGGCAAAAACACAAATCGCACCAAACTTGAAAACATGTCAATTCTTCAACGAGTCATTGGTTTTAAACTCCACACAGATTACATAACATTCGGGTATGATTAGTCATCTTTATCAGTGACATTTTTGTTTATGTACGCTGCTGTACAGAACCGTGCGTTGCACAACGAACCCATTGCGCCTGCTTCATCAATTCGAAAAAGGGAGCGCTATGATGCACTGCGCACTTCACGTGCTACTGGAATATGCACAGATGTTCGCTCTGTTACTGTGCACTTTCGCTGTCCACTAAGAACCCAAAACCAGGCTAGTAACGGAGAAGGTTATCGGGTTCTATTCCTAAATATGAGTGTCAAACTTTCTCGAAGTTTCCTTTTCCTTGTTATATTCCGGGCCGCCCAGCCATCATTCCATTCACCCGGTTTTTTAGCTGTCGCATCAGTTGTCTGGTTGGACACACTCGCTTTTTTTTTGTTACTTACGCTAGCGGTTGGTCATAACAATGATAATTCTACAATAATGAGACAGCCACTCACAGAGTTACAAACGCGCAGGTTGTACACACGTGTGCTGTAAAACCTCCTTTTTTTGCGTTTGCACGTAATGTGTTCTAAATACTTGCTGCTGCCCTATTACATATTCCGTATACTGACAGCTCAGCGCTCAACCCAAAAACTGAATCAGATTTCTAGGGTCATACTTTCCAGTGTGCGCTCGAAGAAGGGAGATGACGCAAATTCGCAAATGTTGTATACATGAAACACAAAGGAAAACTCTGGTGCGGGATATTCATAAAGATCTACCAGTTGGTGTTTTATCGATCGGTGCGTTGTCTTCTGTTTTGAATCGCGACGAGTAATGTGGGCTTTTCAAGAAAAATGAACACTCTACGTCAGGAAACTTCCTTCGTCATGACATTCACAAATTGTTTGTCAATGCTTGTGAATGATTAGAGTGGTCATTTCCGTGGTGACGCTGTGCTAAATATTAATAATTGAGTGCGTTTAATGTTCCAAACACATGACATGATTAAGAGAGATATATTGTAGTGGAGGGCTCCAGAAACACTGATCACCTGGAATTTTTTAACATGCAGGTAAAGCCATCTACGCACCGGCCTCCTGCGTTTTCGCCTCTGTTGAAAATGCAATCACCGTGACTTTGATTCAATTCCGTGACCTACTGGCGGGCAATCAAGCAGCATAACCACTAGGTCATCGTGGTGGGCCTAATGCCAACCAGTCAGCTAATCATCACTCATTTGAAGTGTCCATCTCACTGAATCTTTCTTGTTTCTTTCGAATATACAATCATAATTTCCCATTCTCACACGCACCTGGGAGATATATGGTCCTCAAAGTTTTGAGCATCGGGCGTTTTTGAGTCTTCAATTTGCGGCCATGTTTTACTGATGCAATACTGCCTTAGGCTGCCGTGTAGGACCAGCGGTTGTATTTTCGGCTAGTGACGCGAACGAAGTTGCTTCGAATGCAGCCATGGCGGTCACACTTTGATGGAGGACGGATACTAAAGGGCTATGCGATATGCGTCGCGATCCCTCGATAATGAGCCCCAGCCATTTGAAACTATCCGAGCCCTCAATGGTGGTGCCTTTTATAACCCAAGTCGCCACTTCAAAAGTTATTTATAATATTCACACAAATAAAAACTAGCCTTCATCATGCTTGCACTCAACGACAGTACAAACTTGCTACAAGGCGTTTACGGCCACTTCTTGCGCGAAATAAGATGCAGAAATACTACAATACGAACATACATCAGCAAAAATAAAAAAAGGACACTTTTTTGCTACATTCTTTCTTTTTTACTTTGAATTTCGCTAGCCATTGTTATCTACAAAAAACAATAACCCATATTCATTTCATAGGCTGACAGTAGAAAGTTTACGGAATGTTTTGTTCTTTCAAAAGGTATAGTCGCAGATCAAAGAACAATTATACGTTCATTGTCATGGGAATCAGCATTGTGCGGGAGTCGATGCCCGTGTTTGAGTATGTTCTAAGCGGGACTGCTAAAATTTACTGCTCGCATTTGTCATTACCAAGAAATAAGGTAAGCCAACTTGTGGGATCATTCTTTTTAACGAGCCCAATTTCTTGCTGGCTTTGCAATTTCTCTTAGGAGCACTGTAGGTTGCGGTGAAACAGCAAACGTCATTAAAGAAGTAGTTATTGTCGACGAATTTAGCAAGGCTTCCACAATTTCTGTTTGTGTTTGACGGCTATAAAGCTATGTCTAATACGGATGCACATAGTAAACACGTGTTAGCACATCTCCCGATGACTAAAGTCATTGATCATGATGAAACCTATGTGTTAGATAAAATAGTTAATATACATCTGCACACAGCATATGTTTAGCCCCGTAAGGTGGTGTGTACAAACACATTATACAGTGGTTGCATTATGTACGCTCATGAGAAGCGTGCTATAACAATAAATAAATAAATAAATAATAAATTTTAGTTTTCATTTTAGCAAGTAGGGGGGCAAGGGAATAAAAAACTTCTGTGAGCTTGACTACGCTTTCCAGACGGTTACAGTTCAGCAAGCAATAATAGCATACAGAAATTGGCGTACGCAAATAAGAACACAAAAAAATGGGCAGACCCCACGTACAGTGGGAATTGATGATATGTGAATCACTAATGAGAAATATTATTATGTCACTTTAGAATCAGCCCAACGATACGAGGTGGAGGTAAATGATGCCGTACATGACTTCCGTGTCATGATTATCATCTTTGTATGTGTCGTTTACCTTCGTCATCTATTCGCGTCATCCCGGCTGCGGCGGCTGCCTTTCCGATGGAGGCGGAAACGTTGTAGGCCCGTGTGCTCAGATTTAGGTTCACGTTAATGAACCCCAGGTGGTCTAAATTTCCGGAGCCCTCCACTACGGCGTCTCTCATAATCATATGGTGGTTTTGGGACGTTAAACCCTACATATCAATCAATCAATCGTCATCTATTCACGTCACCTGATACCAAATTTAGTATATGTGGAGCTAGCGAAACGGCCGCGAGCAAGCTAAGAGCATGGTATGTTGTCGTGTTCTTACATGACATGCGTGTCAGGATTATCATGTTTGCAGCTTTCATGTATTTCGTCATCCATTGACGTCACGTAACACCAAATTTTGTATATGTGGAGCTAGCAAAACGACCGCGAACGTATCATGAAGGGCCCAATATACTCCAATGTAGCGTTGACGCGCGCGCACGGTGGGCACAGCGACGCAACGTTAGCAAGACGTGAGGAGGAGAGAGAGAGAGGAAACTTTAATTGAACTTGGCCGGCAGCTTGGTCTTGGTGGCCTCAGATAGCGGCGCTGAGTCCCTGAACTCGGGCGGCATCTTCGGCCTGCCGGACAGCCCAGAGCTGGTCGTTGAGCTCCGAGCTTCTGAGCGCCGCCTCCCAGCGGCGGCGTCGCCGATGGAGAAGGTCCCCCGCGGCTCCCGCAGACGGGACGGCGGCGGGAACGAGTGAGCTCGAGGCTTCCTGTTGCCTGGTATTGGCAGCCGCCATAGGCGCATCGCGAACGGCGGCCGTTTCTCGACCATTGTTATCGGCGCATTCCCAGAGCATGTGGCGCAGCGTTGCTCTGTGCCCGCATGCTTTACATAGATCGGTAATGTGTAAGTGCGGGTAGCAGTGGCGTAAGACGACCGGGCTGGGGTAAAAGTGGGTTTGTAGTAAGCGATAGCTTACGGCATCATGTCTGTTTAATTTGTCATGCGGTGGCGGGAACTTTCGCCTTTCCAGTCTGTAGTGTTGCGTAATATCTCGGAACGTGATGAGACGATCACCCCACGACCATTGTGGTCTGTGTTGTCGCTGCGTGTCTGTCAAGGTGTCTCGATCCGGCAGATCAGAAGCCCCGCTCTCGGGAGCGGAGGCGGCGGCCACGGAATGTGCCACGGCTCGGCGAGTGAGACCTCGAGCCGCGGCGTGGGCCGCCTCGTTGCCCGGAAGCGGGACATCGGTGTGTGTCGGGGTCCAAAGGAGGAAGACTGTTAAATTTTGTTGTGGCGATCGCGACGCTGAGTCACCATCACCGCACCTCTTAAGGATGCGGGCCGCTTCCCGCGAGATGCAGCCGCGCGCGAAGCCGCGGATTGCTGCCTGCGAGTCGCTGATTACGATCGTAGCGTTCGGCACCGTGGCGATTGCTAGGGCTATCGCGGCTTCTTCGGCCGCCTCCGTATGTCCCGTGGTCACCGTGGCGCTCGCGAGGCATTTGCCCGCACGGTCAACGACCGCAGCGGCGTGTGCGTGTCTCCCGTCACCATATCTCGCGGCATCTACGTACACAACTTCGTCGCTAGTGCCGTACTTCTTTTGAAGGTCACTAGCTCACTGGTTACGGCGCCCGACGTGGTGCGTCGGGTGCATATTCTTAGGAAGCGGCGGAACAATTAGGCGGTCGCGAACCGAGGCAGGAACATCCGCTTTTTCTCCCTGCTGAGTGTGGTACCGGATGCCAAGTGACTCGAGGATGTGTCGACCCGTCTTAGACCCCGATAAGCGTTCGTTTTGCGAAACGACATGGGCCTCAATTAACTCGTCGAGTGAGTTGTGCAGTCCAAGTTCTAGTAACTTTTCAGTGCTCGCATTCAGTGGAACTCCAATTGCTCTCTTGAAAGCCTTTCGTATTATACATTCGATCTTGTTTTTTTCTGAGCCTAGCAATTTGAGGTAGGGGACAACGTATGTTATACGGCTTATTGCATACGCCTGCACTAGACGGATCGCGCAGTGTTCGCGCATACCAGTACGTCTGTTCGTGATACGACGTAGGAGTCGGATCGTGTCGTCTACCGAACGACGTAGTCTTCGCACCGTCTCACCATTATGGCCGTTTGCCTGCAGGTGTAACCCCAGAATTCTAATTTTGTCTACGTGTGGAATGGGAGTGCCATCTGCCAATAGAACGCTTATTTTGTAGCACTCCCTTTCCTCGTCGCGCGGGGTTTTGCGACCTCTACTTGTAGGTTTGTAGATTAGAAGTTCCGACTTGGTTGCCGAGCATTCGAGGCCCGTTCCTCGCAAGTACTCCTGAACTTCGTCTACACCTGCCTGGAGCGTACGCTCGATGTGACCATCACAACCTCCGCCGGGTACCCAGAGGGTGATATCATCCGCGTAGATACTGTGATACAATCCTTGTATGCCTAATAATTTCTCGGGTAGCCCCAATAGAACTAAATTAAAGAGTAATGGCGAAATTACGGAGCCTTGTGGCGTGCCCCTCGAGCCCATCTCAAATTCTTGCAGTTCCACATCTCCAACGACGACGCGTACGCGTCTGCCGGCAAGGAAGTCACGTATGTAATTATATGTTTTTTGTCCTAGTCCTAATGTTTGAACTCTGTTTAAAATTGCTTCGTGTTTAACGCTGTCGAAGGCCTTTTTAATATCTAGGCGAAGGATCGCCTTGGTTGAGCTGGTAATGTCATCAACAATGTGGTGCTTCAGCTGAAGCAACGCGTCTTGTGCGGAGAGATTGCGGCGGAATCCTAGCATGGTGTGCGGAAATACATCGCGGACTTCGAGAAAGTCAGTCACGCGTTTGAGGACTGCGTGCTCCAGAACTTTTCCTACACAAGACGTGAGCGAAATTGGCCTTAGATTATCAAGCGCAACCTGCTTGCCCGGTTTAGGAATCATGATAACTCGAGCTCTTTTCCACGCTTCAGGAAGGGAACCGCGTTGCCAGCACTCGTTGATATAAGTCACAGATCGGGAGATTGACTCGTCATCTAAGTTGCGGAGAGCCTTGTTCGAAACCCGGTCAAGGCCGGGCGCCGATTGGGCGTTTAGTGCAAAAAGGACTGCCCGAATTTCCGCTTCGCTAAATTCGGCGTCTAGTTACTCATTAGCAACGCCGTCATAATCTGGGTGTTGGACGCTCTCTGCCGACTTAAAGTAACGGTCACGTATTGCACCGAGCAGGTCATCGCCTTTATGATCGTTCACAAGTCTCCGAGTTTTATGGCCTTGAGCGGCACGAGTATCTTCCGGATCCAATAGGTGCCGGAAAAGGCGCCAAGCACTCGCCCCGCGCATCTGTCGCTCGAGGCCGTTGCACAGGTCTTCCCATTGTGACCTACAGACTTGGAACGCATGTTCCTCAATTTCTCTGTCTAACCGTGCTATGCGTTTCCTCAACGCCCGGTTATGTTTTTGGCGTTTCCACCTCTTGAGTAGGGCGTGCTTTGCTTCCCACATGTGTAGGAGCCTGCTGTCGATTACTTCGAGCTTCGCTTCGGGCGGGATGTGGCACGTTACCGCGTATACGTCCCGATTGAGCGTCTCGGTCCACTCGTCTATATCCGTGATCGGCTCGTCGCCCCGCCCACCTTCTGCTCTCTTTTTGCGGAACGCGTCCCACTGCACTAATTTGAGTTTACGGCCTGTGCTTTCAGAGTATGTTCTACGAACGCTCGGGCCCGTGTCTACCGTAATCTCTATCAGAGAGTGGTCACTCCCTAAGTCCTCCTGCGTGTTTTGCCAAGACGCCGCTGTGACATTCGACACGAACGCGAGGTCCGGTAGCGTGTCTGCGCTCACGCTGTTACCCCGGCGCGTCGGATCGGCGGGGTTCGCGATCAGTTCAAGCCGTTGGTCTTGCGAGTCTTCCCAAAGGTGTTTGCCCTTGAGCGTTTCACGCGTGTATCTCCAGGCCCCATGGGGCACATTAAAATCACCCGCAACTAGCAGAGGTGCGCCGTTGGCGGCCGTGCTTGCTCTCTGGAGCATCTCCCCAAATCGGTGCTGTAGCGTGGGTTTACTGTAGACGTTAAGTACAAACAGGCCTCGGCCGCGCTTAGGAATTAATTCTACAAAAACATGCGGTATCCTTACGCACTCAAGTTCGCGCTGCGCCACCGTGATGTTACGTCTAACTAGCACGGCGGCGACCGGCGCCGGACGCGGCGGGGGCGACGGCAGCGACCGCGGTCGCGCCGACGACGAGAGCGGATCGCCCCGCCCTCGGCGGCCCGCGGCCGCCCCCGGCGCCCCACCACGCGCCGAGTGCCGTGTAGCAC